GTGGATCCCCAGACTAGACTCAAGGCTCTCTACACTGATGAGTATCCAGCTTTAGAGGGATCTGATCCTCTTTAGTGTTTGATTACTCTTCACTGTTGTTCCCTTGCGCTGTTCGCGTACTCATTCCTGTTCAGTAACTGATCCTGGTCAGTATTTGATCATGGTCAGTACTTGATCTGTTCAGTACTTGTCCCTGTTCAATACGTGATTCCTGCTAGTACTGAGCGCTTGCCACAAGAGCCCGTGGAGTATTGCTTTGTATGTAATAGTGTGTGATTGCAAGAGGAGAGATGGTCACACTTCTTTTTGAAGGGTGACACGTGAATTACTCTTGAGTTTAGCCAATTTCTATCACAAGCCAAGCGGGCCGTAGGAAAGATTGCCCTCTACCCCCCTCTGTTGACTGTATACCTTCGAGCTGGTTTAGTTCTTGCATCAAACCAGCGGGTCTATGGTTGTACTCTGGAACCATGAGTCTTCCCGTGTTCCTCATCAGTGCTTATGTAAATATCAAAATGGTATACAATACCGACAGGTTGGTAGGTTAAGACACATAGGCACAGTTAGGCACACTTCTATTCCGAAACGTTTGTCCGACACGTAGGCTGCTTCAGGGTGATGGCCTGCTTACATCGTCTTCCATCTCTTACTGTTCCTGCCTACTTTCTGTATTCGATGAAAGAAGCCTATGGTAGGCGAAACGTTTCGGAATAAAGTTGCCTAACTGATGCCTATTGTGTTTACCTACAACCAGTGCTTATATAACTTTGCCTTCAGAGTGACCTTACTACATGTCCCTCTTTCATAAAGTCTCTGTATAATTAGTGGAAGGAATGCGCCTCTTTAATAAAATGAATAGCACAAAACAGGAAAAAATCTGTGGAAAGGAAAGCTTTTTCATGGAGGTTAAAAAACGAAAATTGACTAGTTATTGTGGTAACCAATACCTTATATGGTAATTGTAGGTTTTGTGAGGAGGAGGAGGCGAGATGTGTGTTTGAAAGCACTGTGTAGTGTGAAAAATCTAAAAAAAAAAATCAGGGACATAGAAATTATAAGTTGGTGTGAGGTTACGTGTGGTACTATTCAGGGGTCAGGAAGCAGATGTTGAAATGGTTTGGTGTGTACGAAAAAACTGAGAAAAATAGGGATGGCAGATAAAGGTGAATAAAATATGGCGGTGGAAGGAAGAGGCTAGGGGTAGTACCAGGAAGGGAAGCAAGGTGAAGAGAAGGTTTTAAGTGGTAAAGGCTTGAACATCCAGCAGGCGTTTGTGAGCGCATGAGATCATAAGTGGAGACTTTTTTTTTTTTAAGAACTTGTTCTGGTAATGTGTGAGCGAAGTAACATTTCTGAAAGGTATCAAGGAAACCGGTCAGCCAGACTTGAGTCTTGGAGTTGGGAAGCACAGTGACTGCACTCTGAAAGAAAGGTGATGTCAACAAGATAGCGACTGACTGAATGATGGTGAATGTGCTTCCATTTTTGGTTCACCCTACCCTTGTGGGGGACGGTCGATGTGGTAAAAGTGTGTGTGTGTGTAGTGTAATATAAATATATATATATATAAATATATAGATATATATATATATATATATATAATAATATATCTCTACGTCGTTATTTTCGTCCTTCAGGTTATTTCTCCTCATCCAGGTTTATTTTTCTTTCATTCATTCATCGGCTGCGCATTTCAGATTTTCTGTTTATTTATATCTATTTCCATATAATCCCAAATTGTTCATTCATGGCGAGACGTGTTTAATATTTATACTATTCATGGACTCCCCCTCTGATGGAGTAATTATCCTGGAGTTGACTAAATCTGCTGAGTCAAGTTTTATTATTCTCAGTCTCTGAGGCTTGACTGATTCTGGAAGGCCAGAGATGCTGCGAGATGCTTTAAGGGTATTGTGTGCCTGGTAATGATGACAATGAGAGGATTAATAACAGCAGTGTCAGCTGTAACAAGAGTTATGATAATAGTAACAGCATGACGTAATAACAGGACTTAACAACGCCAGAAAGCAGCGCAGCAACGAAAAAGCAAAACCAGTAAACATTAGAAAGTAAGGCACAACAATCACAACAAACGAAAACGTCATAATTACGAAAACACCAAAACTCCAAAAAATTAAGGAAAAATGACAAAACACTAAAACTACAAACAACACTAAAAAAAAACATAACCCCCCCCCCCAAAAACATCTCTGCATCAGACTCTTCTAACAAACACAAAAATGACGGTGAAAATATTTCTGACAGGTTTGTAAAGCGCCATGACAGTTTGTCTGTGGTTGGCACTCAGGTTCGGACATGCTGTTGGCACTCAGGTCGACATGCCTTGTTCATGCTGTCTGGCACTCAGGTTCGACTGCTGTCTGGCACTCAGGTGACATGCTGTCTGGCACTCAGGTCGACATGCTGTCTGGCACTCAGGTCGACATGCTGCCTGGCACTCAGGTCGACATGCTGTCTGGCACTCAGGTCGACATGCTGTCTGGCACTCAGGTCGACATGTTCGTGTTGGAGTTCTTCAGTTCAAGGCCCAAGTTTCTCCCTTTAACCGCCGTTAAGCTCCTCTCACCGCCAGCACTGAGCTCACTACACTGAGCTCCTCTCACCACCAAGCTCACCACTATACTGACACATTCGACTACTTTATTATTATTATTTTTTTGTATATTTTATATAATTCATTTTTTTCGAAACAAATAACTTTTGAATTTTTTTTAGTGCCGAAGTGGCTAGTTACGTATCCCCGAAGTCGTTCCTTTAAGACTCCAGCGGTGGCCTCAGATGTTTTTCTTATACGTTTTTTTCTGTTAACTGGGGAACGCTTCATCCGATCGGCTTCAGAATTTCAACCATTGTGTATTGTAATTAGAGGTTCATTCAACTGTTGGTATATGCAGGAGCACTTTGGTTATTTTTATGTGGAAGATACTAAGATTTGGCTTCCGAACGATAATTTGAAAAAGCTTCTGCTCGAGGTTTGAACACGGGAGTATCTTGACTAGGACTTGCTAGACGATTTTTCGGTCCTGGGACCTTGATCAGAAGTGATCAAGGTCTCAGGACCGAAACGTTTTCTAATATATGTTAGTGTTTTGCTCGTGTGCCTTTTTAAACTTGGTGGAGTTTGTGTTACTCTGCCAATTTATCTTTTATCTTTTATCTTTTTTAAATGGTGCATTTTTTCCAATCAGTATCTTGAGAATGACTCTTCTGAACGACTTGAAACTTTCATGGCTGATGCATCTCATGGTCAGGATGATTCCCAGTTATTTGAGACTTTATTCATGCAACTTTGCCAGTTTCCTCCCATAATTAATAAACTTGGAATTGCTGGGTTCCGAGAATTAGCTAATCACTTACAATCTTCCAGAGAGGAACTTTGCTCAAATGAAAGTTCACATTAATTTTTGCCGGTGTAAGTTTTAATTTCCCAATTTTAATTAATTAGCTTCTGTGGCATATAGGAGAATGCGTTTTTTCTGTTCCGGTTTAAACTTTAAACGTTGGTTTATCTTTGAAAAACTTTTTAATTGATCTTGAAATGTAGGCGCCAATTTGCTAATGTTATTGAGGATATTTGGAAAATTTAAATATTGGCTTTCAAGCAATAAATTGTTAATGTCTCCTCCGGTCGGCTTCAAACCTTCAACGATGATGTATCAAATGTTTTTTCGATCGTGTTGGTGTGAATTTACATAATTTGACTTCCATCCTTCATGTTGATCTTGTCTGGTAGTTCACGGGAGTGATGAAATTTGGTTTCTTAAGAAATAATTAAATCTTACGGGACTGTAGAAAGCTTGAAACAGAATCTAAATAAAAACAAAACTGGGAAATAATTAAATTTTTCGTTGTTTATGGCGTTGGTAAATTTTTCGAGTTGTATGTACTCTTATATATCTTATTATCGTACGGCGTTATTCCAGAGCCGGTCATATACTCAGGCACAGTATTCTTTACTTCCTCCAGGGTTTTTAAAATTCCAGAATGCCTCGTGCATTAGACCTCGAAACTACTGGCATGTTGAAGGACCCTCTGGTCGATATATAGTCCATTCCCGGTTTAGGTTTCCGTCCAGTAATTTCAGAAAATCTCTTGGTCTGCAACTCAACACTGATGTAACCTTAGAAGAGAGTTGGGATCGTTATTGAAATGAGTAAATGCCAATTTGCCAATTTAATTTAAAAATGGTATGGAATTATTTTTTTCTGAGAAATGACTACGCCTTTACTAGTTGATACATATGAAAAGGATGGTGCATTTTTTTTTTTTTTAGTTTAGACTCAAAGTTGGAATTGTGGGATTCTGTGTAACAGCTGGTTGGCTCTTGTGCGTTTTTCCTCAAAGGAAACATCGCATTGATTTTGAGATGTACAAGTTTTATTTTGATAATTATATTTAGAAACTTAGTCTTCTTGCAATAACTGCTGCATCTCTTCTCATAGTCGAGATGTATCTTATTTGTGGGAAGGTTCGGACAGATTTTGGGCTGTGTTGATGCCAATTTACCAATTTTAGTGACACTGGGGAAAATTTAAATACTGGTTTTCGTGTGATAATTTGTGAATGTCTCATCCGATCAGCTTTAAACTTTGATTGCAACTAATTAGCGTTTTTTTTTTTAAGTGAAGGTTCGAACTGGTTTTGAGCTATGTAGACGCCGCTTTGCCATTTTTACTGAAGAAATTGACGTAAATTTTCATGCTATTTGTCAATTTCCTCTGATTTCGAACATTTAATATTGATATTTAACTGAAAGAGAAATTTATGCAAAGCACTTTGTACTGCTTCTTTTGCGTCCACTGAGACCCGGGAGAGAGGATGTGCTTGTGGGATACGAAGATTCTTTTTTTTGATCACTCAGCGACTGAAACTCATGATGTAAGTGGCTTAGAAAACCGGCAAGTTGAAGAATGAGACACTTGTGCAATATCTGGTAATTATAATGGAAACGTTACGTCAGGCAGTGGCTTCTTAATCTT